GCCTGCCCTGCGGCAGGGGTCCCCACAGCGGGGCGGCGAGAGCGAGCCGGGGGGCGCGGTGAGATACGCCCTGGCAGACGACCAGGCACTAACGTAGAGGTGAGAGGCGCCTCAGCTCATTCTGACGCCCCTCAGCAACTCCGTCTTCTCCCCGCGTCCTTCCTTGCCCTTTTTCCAGCAGCTGCCCCAGCCGGCTCCTTCGCGTTCAAGGCGCGCACCACACTCTGCCTCTTCAACGTAAAGCTCCGTATGCCGTGTGAGCGCTCGGGCTCCGCAGCTTGCACAGGCCCGAGGATGGCCTGGTGGGTCGGCGTACCCCTGAAGCGATGACCGCGGGGAGAAGGGGGACGCGTAGCCCAAACTGGGAGGCCGGCAGGCAGGGATGCTCGGCTGCCCTGGGCCGTCCATCACCGCAAACCGCTTCCAAGCCCGTGGCTGTGGCCTGTCTTGCTCTGCAAGCACCAGGCAGCCATGACACGCTCTGGAGTCTGGCCCTAGAGTAAAGAAAATAAATGTATCTTTTAGCATATTTCTAAATAGTTGCGTGTCAGAGGGTCTACTCTGAATTACTCAAGTGTCACATTCAGCTTTTCTTAAGTTGCCTCTTTCTTCATTCATGGTTCTTATAAAAGTGGTTTATAAAGTCCTGCCACATGGCTTAGGATAAGTATGAATACCGTAAGATTAACTACAAGGTTATTTTAATATTAATGCTCTTTCCTAAAAAGTACAAAAATCGAAGATTTAAATATGTTTGTTAAAAAACAAATATATTGTGGTATGGTAGTACACAAAGTATCAAAGCAACTTTTAATCCCATACTACAGCTATACTAGAAAAGTATTTTACTATTGAATTTGAGTTTGTGACCCCGTGTTAGACTGATAAGCCTTAAAACAACACGCTTTTTTTTTTTTCTTTCTTAGAAAGAGGTTGCAGCATCTGCTAGTCTTATTGCTACAAGGGATCAGTTGCCGAGGGAGGAAGAACTATGTGGAAGTCATGTTTGAGCCATACCATTTATGTTTTGCACCAATGTCCCAGCTTCACTTCAGCTGATTTAGTGAGTGGTAACATTATAGAATGCCCAGCCTACAGATAAAGGGTCTTTTACAAGTAATGCCACTGGGTAAAATAAACTCCAGGCATTGTAGTTAACAGCTGTATTAATCTCTTTCTGCATCACTGCTCCTAATATAAACCAAACATGGTTCAACATTTTACAGTGCCTTATAAGTAAAAATGAACCTTGCAAACATGAAATTTCAGGCTTCAAGCATGTAATAGACATATTGTATGCTCATTTTTCTAGCACCTTCCATTCTCTCCACTACCATCAAGAAATATGTAATGATGCATAAAGACCCAGCTATCTCTTGCTTTTTCACAAATAAGAAATGGAATGATGGAGAAACAGGGAGGCTTCAGACACAGAGCCAAAATATGGAAGTGATGAATACAGTGAATTTGTTCAGAGAACAGCTTTAGGAGTCACATGTAGAATCAGAAGTATTCTGACTTTTCAGTTCATGAAATCACTATTTTGCATGGCTAGTGAGCAAATCAAGATATTTTTCCACATGACTTCTTCATTGTTTCAGCATCCTGGGAATGCCCCTTTAACTCATAGTTTCTGGATTATCCTGCCTGTGTTTTTTTATCACAGACGGTTAACTCTCCACTTGGCTGAGGAGTATATACATGCATACCGCTTTTCTGCCTGGAGGGTCACTGATTTTGCTCCCTATTTGGCTCACTTCCAACTTTCTGCCTTACCATTAGTCAATGCAAAGACTTAATGCTGGACAGAGTTCCCAGAATCGGAACAAGGTGAATACTTGCATCAACCTTCACCCTGTTGGCTGATATACTCAACTGCAATCATGCATTTGGACAGGGATGGAAAAAAAAACAAAACTGTTCCAGAAGGGAAGATGTCAATAAGAACAAAGCAGGTTTATCCCTGTTCCACTATGGGCAGGCAGTATCCAACCCAAGGGGCAGAAACTTTTCTCTGTACTTACAGAACAAGGGCTGCAACATTCGGCTGTAGGGTATTAGTCTTTTCCTCCCATAATCTTCAACTAGAGAGTAAAGTACAGCAAAAGATGCAGGTATTTCTGCCCATGCGTGTCATGAGTGTTGACCAGGGGTTACAGGGGAGAAGCAGAAGCACTGCGTAGCGCCCTGAGGCAATCACTCTATGTCTTACTGATGTGTCTTCATCAGAGTTCCTCACGTGTTCATGGACGCCTTTGTCTCTTTGTCGTATTTATTAGAGTTGATAGTTGGAGCAAAGCAGGTAATGGAGAGCTGATGAGGCAAAAAATGATAGGGCAAAACTGGAGAAAGCGCAGAAAAACACAAAGTTAGGATAGAAACTGGGATTATAGGAAGCAGAAGAAAAAATTTAATTCAGGAATAGGTTTGATGAGCTTCAAAAAAAGAAATGTAAGGTGCAGAGGAGCATATTGACAGTGTCCTGCTTGTCTCTTTTAAGATGATGTGTTGTCTTTAACGTAAATGCAAAGAAAGAAAATATGGTAAGGAGTAACTATGGAAAGTAAGAAAACTCTTAATAAATGCAACTTCTAGGCAGGGAATTAGGCAGGAAATGGGTGTGATCAAGATTTAGAATAGGAAATGTGACAGATAAGAGAATTGAGACCTTGTTTCCGGTATGAATTGTCCAGAAATAGGAAGGGTTGCCTCTTACCCTGAATTTTCATGGCTTGGATTTGTCATGCATTGTATTGGTCAGTTTTCTCCAGTGAGTAACCACAGTTCTGGCCTGTCGCAGATACCATTAGAAAAGGGTATCCGCTTAGTTTAGTTCAAAGTTAGTTTATTTTACTCAATATAAAATTTCCCTGAATGAGTTCTTTCCTTGGCTTATGGACTGCTTATCATAACTATGGCTGACGTATGGGGGGGGGAAGAGGTATTCCCCTGATTAGAGGAAAGCCGGTTGTGTCTAAGAGAAATAACTCAGAAGAATTCATCATAGTACAAAATTGCCTACGTATTTCAGCTGAGATTAGTGTCCTCCTGAGTAACATGCTATTTGCATAGCAGATCTGCAGGTCAGACCTGCTCAGACAGTAGCATGTTTGTACACTTTACATTACCAAAACACTTTCTAAGTTTTACAGTCATGAGTCAGTGTTCACATACTCACTTTATCTTTTTCCTCATCCCTGACCTCTTTCAAGTTTGTATATACTTCTGCCTGGCTCACACAATGTGAAGAGCCATAAAATTCCAAATTGCATACAATTGCTGATTTTACATGCGCACATGCACACACACAGAGGTCTCCATATATTTGTGGGACTGGAGTGCAGCCCCTTATATGATGTTTGCATTGGTTAAACATTATTAATATTACTTAATTGATACACATTTAATGCTTGTTAAGACAGTTGTTATTAAGGGCATAATTTCTACTGACACCTTTGGGAGTTTTAAGTCCAAGCAAGGGCTGAAAGATCAGTCTTTAATCTGCATTTTCTTGCTGTGTATATTACCAACAGCCGAAGCTTTTCAAGGACTTTGCTTTTAGCTGCAGACATAAATGTATGTGCATAGATCACTTGGTATGGCACATATGGATTAAACCTTGAGAATATTTCCAAGCTGGGTGAAAATAAGACCAACAAATTTTTTGGTAAGAGATTTGCCTTAATTGGAAAGGCTTAAAATAAATGATCATATGATTAAAAAAAGCAAGGATTGCCTGCTATTTGTTGTAACCCCTATTTCTGTAACGCCCCTGTAGCCAGAGAAGCAGCTGTTCATTGCTGACATTCTCCCTGCCAGGCATTCCAACTCTCTGAGGTAATGGGCTACAAGCATACGGGCCTTCGCTTTAATTCTTTCAGCGTATCCTTCCGCATGGATAGAGCGAGGGGAACGCCTCCAGGAAAAGAAATTAAATGCACACACACAGAGGCACGCAGAGACAGGCGATTTGAAAATATTCCCGAGAATGCAATTTGCGCTCATGCAGCGCAGCGTCACATGAAAGAGGCTGCCTGAAGAGCTGGCTGGCACAGGTTTATTTTGTTGTAATATTTTCTTCCACCCCCAGCTCTTTACCCAGTGGAATGATATCCAGAGCAAGTTTTTTGAGACAGGAAGTGAGGAATGTTTTCACTATGAGTGATCTGCGAAGAAGGTGGGTTAGCCGGGATAGCAGCTGTTTCGGACAAGAGGAACACAGTAAGTCAGTTCCCGAGGAATACAGATGAGATGGCTCCGGGAGAAAAAGTCTTGGAGCGCTGTGGGGTTTTTCCGGCTACACGTATGTGAAAGGAGACTCGGTGTCTTTGGATCGCTGGACAAGGTAAGGGGAAAACAGCAGGCACAGTAAAAAAATAGCGGGTGATCTTCTCTGCTGTGTACCGTAAGACTGAGGAGTTTCAAGCATTTACTTTTTGAAAAGTAAAGGCTGTAGGACTGTGCTTCTGGAGGTGGGGGAGGTTTGAGATGTGCACTTACTGCTGCTCTTTCAGTCCAAGAGTCATGTCAAAGATTAACTGGTAAAACAAGGCGAGGGTGGAGTATTCTCATTTTTTTGGCTCCCCAAATATTTCTGAAATAAATGTATGTATTTTAAGCATTTGAAATAACAGGAACCCTTTTTCACCATCATATATTGCAGTTTTATTTCGCACGCTGTCATTCACACAGGCTGTTTAAAAAAAAACTTTGTAAAGTAAAATGCTAATTATTGAGGGGGAGTGGAAGGTGTAGGTAAAGGAGAAAGATACCACAGTGCTCAGTAATCGTGCGTCAGTCATGGCCATGTTGCTGAAATTCTAAGATAATATTTTTGAAACTACGTTTGTGTTGAAATATAAATGTACAAAGTTTGGCTACTAAAGGCGTTTGTAGCTGTTGCGTGAAAATTCCAGGCTTGCTAAATAAAGGCTTGTTATTGTAGAGGTTGTCAGTTAGATTTGTAACTCCTGGCAGTATGTAGTTCCTTTTTGCTAAAGTAGCTTTATAACAATGCAGATGTGTCCGAATTTAAAGTAATGCAGAAGGCATGAGGGCACCTAGCATTGCAGAATGCACAGCTGCTGAATAAAACCAGCACAGCTGTGTTTGCAAGAAGTACACATGGCTAGCAGTAGAAGTTACTGAATGATACCTCAGTGTTACTCATCGAACTTGCCTTTATTCTGCAATGTTTATTATATGTCAGAAATTTTCTTTTTTAGTTGGTCTTTTGTGACATGGACTGGAAGTTAGTTACTTAAGTTTTCCTTGTTATAAACGTGCTTCAGAAGTAATGAAGATTATGTCAGACATGTACCGAGTTAAAATGAAACCATTTAGGGCAAACGCTCCGTAGAGCAATAAATGCAAACAACAGATCATAACCTGAAGAGCGCTTCTGGCATGTTCTGAGAATTCTGCTCTAAACTTCCTTCCTATGCTTGCATTGCTACCTGCCTGCATAGCGAAATAACTGAAAGTCTGAGATTGCCTAATGTCAGCATTAGATGGTTTGGAAATTTCACCTGTCAGGTCAGCCTCTGGTTAGTGATTTTTTTAAATTTTTTTCCCCATGCCCTTAGAATACTTTTCTAAGGGCCTGATGGGGGCACAAAAGTTTGAAAGTCTTTCATATTCAGTGGTACTACGTAAAAACTGAGATTAAAACAGCACTGCACTTCTGACTGCAGCTTTCAAAAAGATGAGTAAGTTGGTTTCTCTCACAGCTGTAGCATCGAAGAAAGTGCGTAACTGTGCAAAGAATGTATTGGAAAACGGGCCCCGGGGACGTGAGCTGAGGTCAGTCAGCCAAGTTACTCTGCCAGGAATAAACCCAGTGTGAGATTCTGCTGGCAGTGGGCAGGAAACTAAAAGCTTCTGTCTGTGGAGCATTCCCTGCATGCTGCTCCAGGGGGGCAGGATTTGGAGGATCAAAGTGCAGAGTGAGTAATAAAGCAAGGAGTCCCCGTGTATCCTAAATTTTTCAGGGCAACCTGTTGCTATCAGTTGTTACTTATGCTGCAGCTGCACCCAAAAATAAATTGGTGTTTGGGGCAGGGTTTTTTTGATTCAATTAAGATTTTAGGTGGTATCTGTTGAGGACGGGGATTGTGTAGCATGGTAGAACTGCTTCCAGATTATTAGAAACGTGCTCATGAATTATGCTTATGGTCATTCTTTGGAGTACGGTTGCAAAGATGTCATTGAGGAAAAATGCCATGCTGCCTCCTCTTTCTCCCCATTTTAAGCCTTTAGCATCTTTCGGCCTGCCATTCTTCTTTGCCGTGCTGCTTACAAGGGAGTAGGGAGTCTGATACGCGGTTTCCAATCTAAAGAGTTTGTGGTTGTGTTGAATAACATTGAATTTCTAGGTATGTGTATAAATCTACAAGTAGTATGTGGCTATCTATTTGTTTACAGCTATACCTTTGAGTTTAAAAACAGGTGCGCTAGGAAGACTACTTCTTCCGATTCCCCCACTCCAAATAAAATGATGTCTTCGTGTTCTTCCTGTCTGGTAGTTCTAAGAGTCTTCAGAAATCCAACTGCGCCTTTTAAAATGTGCTACTAATACACACCAGCCTGAAAAAACCGTAGGTGGTGTCTTTTTCCGTTCAGGCGGTGCGGCGCTGCCGCTAGAGGTCCCCCGGCAGAGCTCCCCCGGCAGAGCTCCCCGCGCCAACAGCGGCGAACAATGAGAGGAAGAAGCGTAGCTTTCCCCCGGCCCGGCCCTCGGCCGCGGCGCGGCCCGGCCCGGCCCGCG